CACACACACACACCTCGAATACACGCATTCAATCACACGGTACAATGGAGGGGAACACGTAGGAACGTAACAACTGCTAAACAGAATGAATAATTTTAAGATTGGCGTGATTCATGTGGCGAGATCTCGCAAACCAATATTACATATTGCAATCCGTGGGTGACCTATGTGGCCGCTATAGCGCTTTATCATCTCGTATGGACAGCAGCTATGCTTGTATTCCAGATCTACCAGGTAAGTCGCCGAACTTCACGTGCAATCCCGTGGAACAGAGAGGTGGCAATCTGGCGGATCCTTATCGTAAGGGCCATCATTTTTGCGTTGCCGGTTTTTTTTTTTTTTTTGTATCATCTAGTTCATGGGTACGAAAGTTGAGGCCAGTAATCTTCTTGCTCACGGATGTACTGATGTGCCAACAGTGAGGAGAATATGTGGAACCTATTCAGGAAGCGACTGGGGAAGTATGCATGTTTTGACTAAAAAAAAAAAATCCGTAGCGCAATGCGAATAGGATCTGCCATCAGGTAACTTTACGAAGCATGTGGTCAAAACAGCAAAAAGAGAGGACAATCCAAGCACAGCCCGTAAAACGTACACGTAAACGTGAAAGTCTGTCTTTCACTGCTTACGAATTACAGATACTTTACGAGATGACCACCAATGAAAGACTCAACGTCCACAGATATGCACATTTTCATCCAGGTGGTAATCAGTCAACAACGCAAAGCCCGTTTTCGTAAGCTCTTCTCGTTATCGGTCCTTCGTATAAACCTGATTTCAGTCTCGATCAAGCAGAGGTGGACAGTTCACGATAAATTTGGATATTCTCCACCGATTACCGACGACCGAAGCAAGGGGGGGGGGGAAAGAGTACGGAGGAGGAAAGAGGGGCAAGAGTAGTACGCAGAAAGAGGGGAAAGAATATATGCAGGAGAGGAGATGGTGTGAAAGAAAGGGGGAGGGGGACGTCAAAGCGAAGAGCGTGGGGACTAATGCTTTATAAAATGGCCCCGTACAAAAGACTATGCGTGTTTTCTTTTCTGAGCAATAACTCTTTTTAGGCAAGGAAAATTACGCAATTTATACAATTTCTGTTGCGCCGGTGGTGCTGCTACCTCATCCGAAGAAGAAAATTTGTTAGAGTGAATGATGTTGAGAGCGAGATAGGATAATATGAATCTCTGTGTGTCCAGTCGATGCGTGTGAGTGTTAGTTTGTCCAGCAGTTGTAAATAATACATTTGATGTTGTTACATTCATAATATACAGAAGATGAAATTTTCTGGGAAAGGGAAGTGAGTTGTCCGGATGACCAGAAAAGCACTGGCCGCTTTTATCGCCTTTGCTGTAGTGTATTTGATAGCCTGGAACAATGTTTTTTAAAAATTATTTTTTTTTTCTGGGAGTATTCTAAGCCGCTAGCCTGCTTGTCAGCTATGGAAGAGTGCTGGCTTTGTAAAGTTCAGAAAGAACTGAATAATTAGATCGAGGAAACGAACATACCATTCCATTGCTTCATCCAAACCTTCACCCTTCGTCGCAGATGTCTTGAAAATCTGGAATGTCCGTGTCCGCAGTGCATCTAATCCAAGGCAACGATGCACATCGGCTGCAGAAAGACATCCAGGAATATCTTGCTTATTTGCCAAAACCATCAAAACAGCGTTCTTCAGCTCCTCTTCCTGTAATCAAGTGATTTTGGTAGGAAATTCTTCCGGAAACATGCGGCTTAGAATACTGTGCGGCTCACACCTACATGCCCCTCCCGCCCCCCCTCCACTTACCTTCCTAGCTGTATTTTGTGTAGCACGTACTTTGCGTGTTTGGCTTATTTCCACAAATGAATCATTTTTATTGCTGTCAGATTGGACTGGATCAAGTGGTAATGCAAAGCATTCCAGATTCTGTTCAATCCAAAATTTTATAGGGCAAGAAAGGATTCATTTGTAATATTAGAAATCTAAAAAGCCACCACCAGATAGCACGTTGCAGTGTATTTGTTCGCTTCCAATTGGTACTACGAAAGGCTTATTGCGCGTTGTGTGCTTTACCAAATTTTTGCATTTGAAAAAGGCGTTCATAAATAAAAGAGATGTTTCTCTGGATTTCATCGCTTCCTGCTCCTGTAAGGGAGAACTGAGCAGGCATCACCGTCCATTTGTTGCCAGCCACGTGTACAAATGGCAGCATTATAAAAAACAGTGAAAAGAAGCGAACTCCATAAAGAGGAAATAGTAGAATAGAGGGGCTGGACTAAGTATAATGTGTAAGAAGACATTTTACGATGCAGTCTGTCTGTATGTTTCATCCCTTAGCTGTAAACACTGACCGAACTTTGCATACGAATAGAAGCGGGAGACATTAGTGCAGCTGAGTGCAAACTACGCTGGAAACAGAGTGGATGAAAAGTCTGGATTAAATGAGGAAAGATACAGGCCTGGCTCCCATTAAACTGCATCAGTAAGTTCAGTAAGTTCCATTACCTCATCATTCACCCCCATTCCTCCTGCTCTGGCACAAGACAGTTTTCTGAAAGCCAGTCCTCGCTTCTGGGGGAAAGGGATGGCGCAGGATTATCTGTATGCTGAGTTCTTATGTCTCCATTACGTTACTTGCATTATCTCACCAGAAATCGCCCAAGTGTTCGTTTTCTACTAATCCAAAAGAATGGATTATTACTGAAGCAAAGCAGCGCTGCTTGCTCACCTCGAGCATCGAAACAAGTTCCTGCTTTGAAATGCCAATTCGATCTTTGTCTGCCGAATCCACAACGTATATGATGGCATCTGTGTTTGAGTAGTAGCACCTCCAGTACGGACGAATTGACGTCTGGCCACCGAGATCCCATACCTTGATTCACACTCACTCTGAGTTCAGTAAAATCTAGCTGTCTTACAATTCCACAGTAATATTATTGCAAAAACATTGTGTCTGCGCCCAACACATCAAAAGGCCGAGATTCTGGTGGGACACTGTCGTTCAGGATGTGACCGGGAACCGGGCCTGAAAATTCATGAAACATTTCCAGCGTATGGACGATTGACCGACAGCGCGCCGTCTCCCAAATCCATACAGTGTTATCCTGTTTTTGCCGGTCTCTTCCGGATGTTGTCTCAAATTGTTCCGTTGGTACTGCATTGGCTGGGTGCGGTGGCCATAACACGTTTTTTTTTGGTTTTTCAAGAGTTGATTTTGCAAATTTTTCTGAATCTGATAATCCTGTTTATAAT